GTGTATATGTACAACACACGTATCATCAGGTAGTCCGTGTATATGCACAACACATGTATCATCAGGTAGTTAGTGTATATGTACAACACATGTATCATCAGGTAGTCAGTGTATATGTACAACACATGTATCATCAGGTAGTCCGTGTATATGTACAACACATGTATCATCAGGTAGTCAGTGTATATGTACAACACATGTATCATCAGGTAGTCCGTGTATATGTACAACACACGTATCATTAGGTAGTCCGTGTATATGTACAACACATGTATCATCAGGTAGTCCGTGTATATGTACAACACATGTATCATCAGGTAGTCAGTGTATATGTACAACACACGTATCATCAGGTAGTCAGTGTATATGTACAACACATGTATCATCAGGTAGTCAGTGTATATGTACAACACATGTATCATCAGGTAGTCCGTGTATATGTACAACACACGTATCATCAGGTAGTCCGTGTATATGCACAACACACGTATCATCAGGTAGTCCGTGTATATGTACAACACATGTATCATCAGGTAGTTAGTGTATATGTACAACACATGTATCATCAGGTAGTCCGTGTATATGTACAACACATGTATCATCAGGTAGTCCGTGTAAATGCATAACACATGTATCATCAGGTAGTCAGTGTATATGTACAACACATGTATCATCAGGTAGTTAGTGTATATGTACAACACATGTATCATCAGGTAGTCAGTGTATATGTACAACACATGTATCATTAGGTAGTTAGTGTATATGTACAACACATGTATCATCAGGTAGTCCGTGTATATGTACAACACATGTATCATCAGGTAGTCAGTGTATATGTACAACACACGTATCATCAGGTAGTCCGTGTATATGTACAACACATGTATCATCAGGTAGTCAGTGTATATGCACAACACATGTATCATCAGGTAGTCCGTGTATATGTACAACACATGTATCATCAGGTAGTCCGTGTATATGCACAACACACGTATCATCAGGTAGTCAGTGTATATGTACAACACACGTATCATCAGGTAGTTAGTGTATATGTACAACACATGTATCATCAGGTAGTCAGTGTATATGTACAACACATGTATCATCAGGTACTTAGTGTATATGTACAACACATGTATCATCAGGTAGTAAGTGTATATGTACAACACATGTATCATCAGGTAGTCAGTGTATATGTAAAACACATGTATCATCAGGAAGTCAGTGTATATGCACAACACATGTATCATCAGGTAGTCAGTGTATATGTACAACACATGTATCATCAGGTAGTAAGTGTATATGTAAAACACATGTATCATCAGGAAGTCAGTGTATATGCACAACACATGTATCATCAGGAAGTCAGTGTATATGCACAACACATGTATCATCAGGTAGTCAGTGTATATGTACAACACATGTATCATCAGGTAGTCCGTGTATATGTACAACACACGTATCATCAGGTAGTCCGTGTATATGTACAACACATGTATCATCAGGTAGTCCGTGTATATGTACAACACATGTATCATCAGGTAGTCAGTGTATATGTACAACACATGTATCATCAGGTAGTCCGTGTATATGTACAACACATGTATCATCAGGTAGTCAGTGTATATGTACAACACATGTATCATCAGGTAGTCCGTGTATATGTACAACACACGTATCATTAGGTAGTCCGTGTATATGTACAACACATGTATCATCAGGTAGTCCGTGTATATGTACAACACATGTATCATCAGGTAGTCAGTGTATATGTACAACACACGTATCATCAGGTAGTCAGTGTATATGTACAACACATGTATCATCAGGTAGTCAGTGTATATGTACAATACATGTATCATCAGGTAGTCCGTGTATATGTACAACACACGTATCATCAGGTAGTCCGTGTATATGCACAACACACGTATCATCAGGTAGTCCGTGTATATGTACAACACATGTATCATCAGGTAGTTAGTGTATATGTACAACACATGTATCATCAGGTAGTCCGTGTATATGTACAACACATGTATCATCAGGTAGTCCGTGTAAATGCATAACACATGTATCATCAGGTAGTCAGTGTATATGTACAACACATGTATCATCAGGTAGTCAGTGTATATGTACAACACATGTATCATCAGGTAGTCAGTGTATATGCACAACACATGTATCATCAGGTAGTTAGTGTATATGCACAACACACGTATCATCAGGTAGTTAGTGTATATGTACAACACATGTATCATCAGGTAGTCCGTGTATATGTACAACACATGTATCATTAGGTAGTCAGTGTATATGTACAACACATGTATCATCAGGTAGTTAGTGTATATGTACAACACATGTACCATCAGGTAGTCAGTGTATGTGTAAAACACATGTATCATCAGGTAGTCAGTGTATATGTAGAACACATGTATCATCAGGTAGTCCGTGTATATGTACAACACATGTATCATTAGGTAGTTAGTGTATGTGTACAACACATGTATTATCAGGTAGTCAGTGTATATGTACAGCACATGTGTCATCAGATAGTCCGTGTATATGTAAAACACATGTATCATCAGGTAGTCAGTGTATATGTAGAACACACGTATCATCAGGTAGTCCGTGTATATGCACAACACATGTATCATCAGGTAGTTAGTGTATATGTACAACACATGTATCATCAGGTAGTCCGTGTATATGTACAACACATGTATCATCAGGTAGTCAGTGTATATGTACAACACATGTATCATCAGGTAGTCAGTGTGTATGTACAACACATTTATCATCAGGTACTTAGTGTATATGTACAACACATGTATCATCAGGTAGTAAGTGTATATGTACAACACATGTATCATCAGGTAGTTAGTGTGTATGTACAACACATGTATCATCAGGTACTTAGTGTATATGTACAACACATGTATCATCAGGTAGTAAGTGTATATGTACAACACATGTATCATCAGGTAGTTAGTGTATATGTACAACACATGTATCATCAGGAAGTTAGAGTATATGCACAACACATTTATCATCAGGTAGTCCGTGTATATGCACAACACATGTATCATCAGGTAGTCCGTGTATATGTACAACACATTTATCATCAGGTAGTCAGTGTATATGCACAACACATTTATCATCAGGTAGTCCGTGTATATGCACAACACATGTATCATCAGGCAGTCAGTGTATATGCACAACACATTTATCATCAGGTAGTCAGTGTATATGTACAACACATGTATCATCAGGTAGTCAGTGTATATGCACAACACATGTATCATCAGGTAGTTAGTGTATATGTACAACACATGTATCATCAGGTAGTTAAAGTATATGTACAACACATGTATCATCAGGTAGTCAGTGTATATGTACAACACATGTATCATCAGGTAGTCATTGTATATGTACAACACATGTATCATCAGGAAGTTAGAGTATATGCACAACACATGTATCATCAGGAAGTTAGAGTATATGCACAACACATGTATCATCAGGAAGTTAGAGTATATGCACAACACATGTATCGTTAGGCGGTTTGTGTGTATGCACAACACAAGTATTATCAGGTGGTTTTTGTGTATGAACAACACATGTATCGTCAGGTAGTTACTGTAGAGTACAACTTAAGGAATATGCATAATACAGATGCATCGCCAGTTGGTTAGTGTTTAAGCACATCACCGAGTAGTCAGTACAAACAAGACATAAAGTTGATATTTTTAAGAAACATACTAAGTTGAAATTTCAAGATACTAAGTTGAAATTTCAAGATTCATACTAAAATGAAATTTCAAGATACAAAGTTGATATTTCAAGATACATACTAAGATAAAATTTCAAGGTACTAAGTTGATATTTCAAGATACTAAGTTGAAATTTCAAGATTCATACTTAGATGACATTTCAAGATACTAAGTTGATATTTCAAGATACTAAGATGAAATTTCAAGATCCATACTAAGATGAAATTTCAAGATACATACTTAGTTGAAATTTCACGATACTAAGTTGATATTTCAAGATACTAAGTTGAAATTTTAAGATTCATACTGAGATGAAATTTCAAGATACATACTAAGTTGAAATTTCAAGATCCATACTAAGATGAAATTTCAAGATACATACTAAGTTGAAAATTCCAAGATACTAAGTTGAAATTTCAAGATACTAAGTTGAAATTTCAAGATTCATACTAAGATGAAATTTCAAGATACAAAGTTGATATTTCAAGATACATACTAAGATGAAATTTCAAGGTACTAAGTTGATATTTCAAGATACTAAGTTGAAATTTCAAGATACATACTAAGATGACATTTCAAGATACTAAGTTGATATTTCAAGATACTAAGATGAAATTTCAAGATCCATACTAAGATGAAATTTCAAGATACATACTAAGTTGAAATTTCAAGATGCTAAGTTGAAATTTCAAGATACATACTAAGATGAAATTTCAAGATACTAAGTTGATATTTCAAGATACTAAGTTGAAATTTTAAGATTCATACTAAGTTGAAATTTCAAGATACATACTAAGTTGAAATTTCAAGATATATACTAAGTTGAAATTTCAAGATTCATACTAAGTTGAAATTTCAAGATTCATACTAAGTTGAAATTTCAAGATACATACTAAGTTGAAATTTCAAGATACTAAGTTGAAATTTCAAGATACATACTAAGATGAAATTTCAAGATGCTAAGTTGAAATTTCAAGATATATACTCAGTTGAAATTTCAAGATCCATACTAAGATGAAATTTCAAGATACATACTAAGTTGAAATTTCAAGATCCATACTAAGATGAAATCTCAAGATACATACTAAGTTGAAAATTCCAAGATACTAAGTTGAAATTTCAAGATACTAAATTGAAATTTCAAGATACTAAGTTGAAATTTCAAGATACTCAGTTGAAATTTCAAGATACTCAGTTGAAATTTCAAAACACGCATGTTTCTGTTCACAGCGTCAAACGACTGCTCTTTACCCTACGGTATCGCAGTCACCCTTGTCATCATCAACGCCGTTGCCATAGTGACATATCTATGGAAGAGACGCCAGGCATGGCATGAACAGAAACTGTCGGAACATCCCCCTGACGTTGTTGGGCTGACAGACGACAGCGCGGCTGACTTTGAGTATGCCACCGTTGCTGACGTTACCACTGCCGCGGAAGTAGAGCCTAGCCAAGTTGTAGTTGGGGCGTCAGCATCTCGCGAGGTCATCTTAATCAATCAAACCTATGTCTCGGCCGGACGATACATGAAGAGCGGAACACCGGCCGATGAAGCTGGGTACTACGTCAACGTTGCGAGTCGTGCACGTAGTAAAGACACTGTTGAAACAAATGAACCAGGACAGGACACACCTGCGCAAGACATACTTGATCAAGACCTTACGGAGCTAGACACATCCGAGCAAGATACATGTGATACAGACATACAGGAACTAGACACACCTGTGCAAGACACACTTGATGAAGGCACACCGGAGCGAGACACTTCTGAGCAAGACACACATTATCAGGACATTCCGGAGCTAGAAACAACTGTGCAAGACACACTTGATGAAGGCATGTCGGAGCTAGACACTTCTGAGCAAGACACACATTATCAAGACATTCCGGAGCTAGACACAACTGTGCAAGGCACACTTGATGAAGGCATGCCCGAGCTTGACACATTTGAGCAAGACACACATTATCAGGAGATACCGGAGCAAGACACATCTGATACAGACACATCTGAGCAAGACTCGATTTATCAAGACATACCGGAGCTAGACACACCTGGACAAGACACATCTGATACAGACACACCGGAGCTAGAACCACTTAGAGCAAGACACATCTGATACAGACATACCAGAGCTAGACACTTCTGAGCAAGACACCCTTTATCAAGACATACTGGAGCTAGACACACCTGAGCAAGACAGACTTTATCAAGGTATACCAGAGCTAGACACTTCTGAGCAAGACACCCTTTATCAAGACATACTGGAGCTAGACACACCTGAGCAAGACAGACTTTATCAAGGTATACCAGAGCTAGACACTTCTGAGCAAGACACCCTTTATCAAGACATACTGGAGCTAGACATACCTGAGCAAGACAGACTTTATCAAGATATACCAGAGCTAGACACACCTGAGCAAGACACACTTTATCAAGGTATACCAGAGCTTGACAGACCTGAGCAAGACACACTTTATTAAGGCATACCAGAGCTAGACACACCTGAGCAAGACACACTTTATTAAGGTATACCAGAGCTAGACAGACCTGAGCAAGACACACTTTATTAAGGCATACCGGAGCTAGACAGACCTGAGCAAGACACACTTTATTAAGGCATGCCAGAGCTAGACAGACCTGAGCAAGACACACTTTTTTAAGGCACACCGGAGCTAGACACACCTGAGCAAGACAGACTTTATCAAGGCATACCGGAGCTAGACACATCATTGTATGTTGCACGTGTGTTCCTGTGCACTGTGCACAACACACAGGTCACAAATCAGCTGAAGCTCGGCCTGTGAGAGTACCTGGATGGGTGTCCGCATTCGGCAGGTGTCTCCTGGGAGTTTCCAGGGCTTCGGTCCCGCCCCACACTGAAGCATGTGCAGCACATATGGTGTCTCCTTGGACAAATGACTTCGAAATGTCACTGCTCACCTCCTAGCGCCGACAAGGCAGGATGGGTTGTGTATTCCACAAGGAGCTGAGAATGAAAACCAAAAGCACACTGATCAAATGACCGGGGTATCAAATGACCGGGGTATCAAATGACCGGGGTATCAAATGACCGGGGTATCAAATGACCGGGGTATCAAATGACCGGGGTAATAATACTAATGCTTTGAGAATGCACCGAGTGTATGGAAGCCAACGCAGCATAAATACCTTCATTATTATCATTAATTATTGACAGTGTGCAGTATGCCAGGTAGACATATAGGTAACAGGTGACTTGTAGTTCTCGTACGGACATAGACCACGAACAGCGAAGGCATGTAGTTTAAATTAAAACTTCAAAGTACACATGTTGCTGTCATTTCTGTCCCAGCTACTCATTAAACGTGTGACCGTCTCACAGCAGTATTAACGTGGAGCTGCCAGGTAATTCAACCCTCCACAATAGTGAGTGAGTGAGTGGGTTGGGTTTAACGCCGCTTTTAACAGTATTCCAGTTATATCGCGGCGTGTCAGCTTAATGTGGGAGGAAAGCCCGAAGTGATGCAGGTCTCAGACGTTTACCACTTCGGTGAAACCCACGAGCACAGGTATGGTGCTGACAAACCTAGAAACATAATCGGGGCAAACAGGGATTCCAACCCACAATCATAGGTTTCTGGCGTGCCCAATGTACGCAACTCTGCACAGTGAATCGCGGCGCCTTAGACGACTGGGCCACCCGTGACCCCCCTCCACAATAGTAAACTGTCAATTCAAATGCCTTTTCAACTGCGGACACGTTAACGGAACTGAGTCCAAGCTTAATCCCCATATGGGTCCAAAATGGGACACCCTTTATTGTTTGTTTGTTGTTTAACACTCCACGTTATATTCCAGCTATATGACGGCGGTCTGTAAATAATCGAGTCATGAGCATCCAGTAGTGTTGCCTCTGTTGATATAACAACAGGCAGATGGGAGAGAAACGCTGCATTTAGCTATTCGAATGTTTATTATGGTGATCGTGAGGCATAAAGCACTATATCTGTCTTTGAAGTATGAATGCCAGGGTTCACTTATCTTTGATTTTAGGGGCGGTCGGGTAGCCTAGTGGTTAAAGCGTTCGCTCGTCACGCCGAAGACCCGGGTTCGAATCCCGACATGGGTACAATGTTTGAAGCCCATTTCTGGTGTCCCCCGCCGTGATATTGCTGGAATATTGCTAAAAGTGGCGTAAAAACTCACTCACTCACTCACTCTTTGATTTTAATCCCTTCTTCGCGTATCGCTTCGTGGTCGTGACCCCAACAGCGTCACGTGACATCCACGAACTGTTAATTTTATACATCCAACACCTGCAATGTGCGGACATTGAAAGCAGAGGTCCTTACAATGATGTTCATGTGTGACCTTACTTCGCAGGATACTTCCTGGTATATGTTTTGGTTTCAACATTTATTCACAAGTAGTGCACGGCCTCTCCTCTCCACGACATTGAAAAATATCAAAATCACGCTCCCACACACTCACTCACACACACACGCACGCACACACACACATACCCAATCACGCACGCACGCACACGCACGCACGCACGTACGTACGCGCACACGCACGCACAGGCACACACACATACGCACGCACACACACACATACGCACGCACGCGCTCACGCACACACGCACCCTCACAGTACAACAATAACGGGGGCACGGATTTGCTGTGCAGAGTTGCGTCCCTTAGGCACGCCAGAAACCTATGATTGTGGATTCGAATCCCGGTTCGCCCCGATTATGTTTCTAGGTTTGTCAGCACCATACCCGTGCTCGTGGGTTTCACCGAAGTGGTAAACGTCTGAGACCTGCATCACTTCGGGCTTTCCTCCCACGTTAAGCTGACACACCGTGATATAACTGTAATAATGTTAAAAGCGGCGTTAAACCCAACTCACTCACTCACTCATCGTGGTCTACGTAGTTAAACAGAATGGACTGTTTCATGTAATTGCAGCATATATATATATATATACATACATATGACGGCCATGTCCCTACAAGGGTGAAGTAGCAGAGGACTGTTAACAATACAATTGGAGAGTATGAACCCCGGACACTATCAAGACTGGATCCGCATAGACAATGAAACATGTGTGGTATACAGAATATGTATAATCGACAGATACTAGTATATCGTGTAGCTAACCTGGGAATTATCCCGGTTACATCTGGCGTGTGTCTCATGTGTGACAACGACTGTGATGATATTGTGTATCACAAACTTGGAACTGTGATAGGCTTACAGTGAGTGAGTGAGTATGGTTTTACGCCGCTTTTAGCAATAGTCCAGCAATATCACGGCGGGGGACACCAGAAATGGGCTTCACACATTGTACCCATGTCGGGAATCGAACCCGGGTCTTAGGCGTGACGAGCGAACGCTTTAACCACTAGGCTACCCGACCGCCCCTTGTGATAGGCTTACAACACAGCGGAATATTCTGTATGAGAAACTGTGTGACCACCTGTCATTAAAGCAGGACCTAAAATAGCAGGTTGTGTTTACAATGAAGTAGGGGCGGTCTGCCGTGATATTGCTGGAATATTGCTAAAAGCGGCGTAAAACCATACTCACTCACTCACTCATTTATACTTTTCAAATGAGCTAGTAATTGGTTGCTGAGAAAATATAGTACCATTTTCTACAGTGATTATATTTTGCTTTCATACATGTATTACATATGATGAATGTCTAAATTGTAAATAAGATAATACCTTTTATTTTTCTTCTTTTGACGAGAGGTTCTGGAAATAAAAAAATGAGTCTCAAAAGCAAGGCTTTTCAAATAACTATCATGCCATAAGTGACAACCGAATATTTGTTGGAAATTCAGGGGACAGTCATGATATAGCTATTAAGTTGTGGCCCTCAAATCTCATTTCTCCACTATATTACAGAAAACTTCCTCAGTAACAAGGCTAGTTGTTCCAATACTAAAAAAAAAAAAAATACAACATGGTAGTGCTCAATGTGTCTTCAAAACGGGTATAAACTTTGGCATGTAAACATGACATATGATATGCAACTATGATGCATAAGTGATATTGATTATGTTATTCATTTCATGAAAAAATCAAGCAGTAAAATTCACAAGCACAAATGAAGTAAAGAAGTGCCATTGCTTGATGGTATCACACCCCTTGTGGCCGGTATGTCGCCTGATACGTGTTCACACAGTCAATAAACAACTTGGAGCAGGAAGTCGGGGGATGGCAGCTGCAATCTATCCTGTATCTTTAACATATCATGTTAAGATGTGCGTGTAAATACTGATATTGTAAATCTTTCCTTGTACTCCCCGGAGGAAATAAAGATTATTCATTAATAGCGCCTGACAAGGCTGCTTGGCGCTCTGATCATGCAATGAGTGTTTCGAGGCAAGCGATGTATAATTATTATTATTATAATAAAGATTATACATACATACATGCGTACATACATACCTACATACACACACATACCTACCTATCTACCTACCTGCATACATACATGCCTGCCTGCCTGCCTGCCTGCCTGCATGCATACATACATACATACATACATACATACATACATACATTACCACAGTAGCCCAAACCCCACGTTTGAAAGTCGCGGACGTAAGAAAATAAATATTTACTATCATACAGGACGTTTATTCTAAAACTCTCGCTTGTGTAAAAATTTCAAAGAGTAGCATCTCAGATTATTTTAACAGTCTCAGTGGAGTACGACAAGGGTGCGTTTTGAGTTCTCTTTTGTTATTCATAAATCAGTTGGAAGCGGACATCCAGCGCTGTGGTGGTAGAGGGATATTTGTACATGAACATTTACTGGAATTGGATCTTCTCAAGTCAAAATAGATGTCAGAGATGTGCCAAATTGGGAAACGCCATCCACATATCTACCACAACACTTTTTTCAAGCTTTATTGAGGCCTTGAATGTTCAAACAACCTTTTAGCAAGAGTAGTATGGGGCTCTTTCAAATCTTGGTAGAAAGAACATGCTCGATTACACCTCACAGTTGTGAAATGAAGACACCTGAGGCTTACAGTCTCGTGGAAAGTGTTTTGTCACTCTTAATGTTTATGCATAGATCTAAACGTGAAACAGGCGAGGCGTTCTCCTGTATTTCTAGTTCAGGTGGGTGAATCAGTGGAAGGAAATTGGCTATTTGATTGTCCTTCCCGAGAAATGTGTAAAATGAAACTCTTTCATACTCTGCAGTGCATAGTATACAAACAATTCCTGTGGTATATATGTCAGGGGTTCCCCACTATTCCCTGAAATGCAGTCCTCCACGTCACACACGTTACCTCAAGGAAGAACATATAACAGGTGCGGGGCGGTCGGGTAGCCTAGTGGTTAAAGCGTTCGCTCGTCGCGCCGAAGACCCGGGTTCGTTTCCCAACATGGGTACAATGTGTGAAGCCAATTTCTGGTGTCCCCCGCCGTGATATTGCTGGAATATTGCTAAAAGCGGCGTAAAACCATACTCACTCACTATAACAGGTGCGGGAATGGAAGCAAACCACAGTAATTACGTTTCACATAACGACAGTTGCTTGATCCATGTCATCGTATCCCAATTGCGTGGATCGATGCTCATGATATCAATCACCGGATTGTCTGGTCCAGACTCGATTATTTACAGACCGCCGTCATATAGCTGGAATATTGCTGAGTGTTGCGTTAAACAACAAATAAACAAAACAAAACATACCCATCAGTAAAAGACCGTGATATATGCTACTAGTGAATCTTCTTCTGGTTTTCAACACAGTGTGGCAGTGTGGGTTCGAATCCCGCAAGGGACTTGACCAAAAAAAATACAAGAATCTTTACTTTACTAAGAAAGTGTTTTCCAAGATGTAACATTTGTTATTTAATATACACAACAGTCCATTTCATAAACGTATTATGATTTTCAATACACATTCCTTGTTCAATCACACAGATAGATACTTTAACACAGATGCATCAGGTCTTGGCCTCCTCTGCCCAGACATTGGTTAAATCGGGAACCCTACAAGGCTGGTGAGCTCAGGTGCAAGTAACACACCTCTCTCCTTCGTGACACCAAGGAAAACACCTGCTGCCCCCTGCAGCATACACGACAAAACACTTGTACATTACATGGTAACTACCAACCATCAGTGATCAACACGACATCGGGCGATCTCACCATATCTAATATATCAAGGTACGATGACATGCATCAACCAAGTCAGCGAGTGAAGGTGCCAAAATGCTGGCAAGGTCCTGACATGCAATATCATTGTTGGAATGCAAATTCCCTGTCCACGTTTTATGAGATTTATTTCACATTACGTGCCAAGATTTGACAACAGACCCTACGGGACGGGCTGGCGTAATGGGTATTAACGTTGTAGTATGT